ATTGCATGCTGCCTGTCCTCCCTCATTTTCATGTGTCCCACTTGAGCTCCCTGGCTCTGTGGATCTGCTCCTCGTTGTTTCCAGAAAACCTGAAGTTGCTGTGTCTGTCCCTTTTCATTCCTTCTTCCGGGATACCTTGTGATATTTTCTGATTCTGCTCTCTGTGCCTCTGTCATGTCGTGTCTCTGCTGCCGTGCAAACATCTCCCAGCTCACTCCTCCGTTCTCCTTGGCTTGTTTGTTGAATTTTAGATTTTAGAATCTTCATTTCTAGGAGTTTCATTTTGTTGCTCCCTTCTTCCTCCTTTTTTCTTCTTCCTCCCCCTCCCCGTTCTTATCCCCGTTCTTACTTGTCTTAGTGATGTGCACACCCTGTCATGACAACTTTTATTTCTTTAGGCATCTCCTGTGGCCTCTTGGTCTTCTGTTGTTCTTCCTTTCCTCTCTGTGGCCTGCCCCTCACGGTGGCTCACACTCTTGTGATTTAGGAAGATAAATGTGGAACCTTTTTGCCTGGTCTTACTCACAGAGCAATTCCTGAGTGACCCTATCGACTTTTTCCTTCAGGTTGAGACCACTACCCTCTTCCAGAGGGTTTCCCAACCCAGAACCATCTCAGCTCCCTGGGAGCTTAATCTCGAAGGAGACTTCCCATCCTCCCTATCCCTAGGCTCTCCAAAATTCACTACTACTATACGGAATTGCTTTAAGAAACCCCGTCCCTTGGGACTGGAAAGATGGTTGAGCTGTTAAGAGCACTGGCCGCTCTTCCAGAAGACCCTGATTCAATACCCAGTACTCATATAGCAGCCCACAACTGTCTGTAACTCCAGTTCCAGGGGATCCAACACCCTCACATAGACATGCAGGCAAAACACCAATGTACATAAAGTACAAATAAATAAATTGTTAAAAGAAAGAAAGAAATCCTGCCCCAGCAATGATCAGTTCAGGTCAACTCACTGACCCTCTCCTGTACCCCCATGCCCAATACCCCAGCACCCATCTGATGAAACCAGAGTTCAGCCCCCACTTCTCACTTTCTTTTATGTTTCTTCACAGTGCATGTTACCAGCTGTCATACTTTATATCCGTTTGCTAAACTGCTTCATGTAGGCTACCCCCGCACTAGAATGCGATGACTTGTTCATTTATATATCCTTAGCAACTAGTGCAATGCCCAAAATATAAGTGTTAAACCATTATATGATGGATGAATGAGCAAATGAGACACAGCACCTGTCTGCAAATGCTCTCCGTCTGGCAGCTGAGCCAGACAGGGACAGTTTGCTACAAGATGGAGAAGCAACTTCTGCTGTGGGGGGAGGGACTGTGGAAGGAAAGCTCCATTCAGCCTGGAGGTCAGGGGCTTCTCTGCTGGGGCTGGAGGGGGCTAGGGATGGACCAAGCTGAGATGCTAAGGATATGTTGCCATCATTCCACAGCAAAAGCCATCGGGGAGAACGTTGCAGAAAAAGACCAGTCCAAAGATGAGAAGGGTGCTGTCTGGGGGAATGGAAGTTGTTTGGTGTGGGCAAGATTGTGGAGGGGAAGCTGGGCTGGAGAGAGGTCACAGGTCAGACCTCCCACACTTCCAAGATCCACTGGTAGTTTGGCAGTAAGGAAGGGAGTGTGGGATGGTTTCAGCTGTGGAGAGAACACGCTGAGTTTGCAGGGCAGGAGGTTCCCTCTGGCCTGTATGGGGGCTCTGTCCAGAGGGTGGCTGGTTCAGAGCCAGGGCTGATGACTCAGTGGGACCCTTGGGTTTTCTGCTGGTGGGAGAGCACACTGAGTGGGCTGAGTGAGTGGGCTCATTTGATGGGGAAAGGGGCTGCTCAGTTAGTATTGGCTGGGGCGATCTGGAAGATGGAGAGAACACACCCTAGACTTCTGAGCCAATACTTTTTAATTAGGGCTGGATTTAGCAAAAATTAAAATAGATATATGGGACATGAGGCTGAATTTGAATTTCAGATAAACGAGTTAACTTTTTGGTGTAAGCATGTCTTCCCAAGTGAAGTTCTTTTGCATTATCTGGGGTTCTCTTTTCAACAGCTGCCATTCACCCACACTGGCACACACCTGAGGAAATAACAGGGTCCAATAGCTTGGGGCCTTCCTGACCCCATACCCATTGTCCCCTTCACCAAGTGCCTCCTCAGATCCTTCCTCTGAGCAGCATCCCCAAACTCTATCCCAGACCCTCCTGCCCTCCTGCCGGTCTGGAAGCCCAGAAGCTGGTCCACCACCTAGGCTGAGTCCATCTGTTGGGGACACTGAAGACAGCTAGAGCTGACCTGGCAGCCCTACCCAACTCCTCACCCTCACTACAATATTTACATAAAGTGCTACCCTAGAGCCTGGACCCCAGGGGCTCAGAGCCACAGGCTTAGGGCTGTCACTGTGGCCACATCCTCCTTTGGGTGGCTCTGTGTTTACTGGTCCTGAGAGGCCAGGTCCTGGACTCAAGCAAGGCCCTGCTTACCTGGGTCACTTCCCCGACCAACCCAGTCATCCAAATATCCCTCAGCATCCTCATTAGTGTGGAGACCCCACCCAAGGATCTCCATGCTGGACTAACCATGGGGCCTTCCCTGGGGTGCAGATGGGGAAGTTTCATAGAAGATGTGATAAATGGACTAATAGAGGACTCAGAAATGGGGTAGAGATGGAGACATGGCCAGCCTGGAGTTGTGTGGTGTAGGAGATATCACTGGCATAGTCAGAGCCAGAAGAGCTGAGCAAGGTCCTCCTCCAAGAAAAGTGGGAGAGGAGACCACAAAATAAGAATGGAAGGATATGCCTAAGAAAACAGAATTTCCATCCCGCCCAGTCCCGCTGTGGGTTCAGACAGCACCAGGAGTGGAACCTGAACAGCTTTCCTGAGTTGAAGCTGTTAACAACCATAACAGGGGCTTTGAAGAGATGGTTTAATACCTGAGAGCATTTGTGTATAAGCATGAGAACCTGAGTTCTGATCCAAGCACCTATGTGAAAAGCCAAGTATGTCACAGGAGCCTGTAACCCCAGCGCCGGTGTGTGTGTGTGTGTGTGTGTGTGTGTGTGTGTGTGTGTGTGGTGTGTGGGTGTGGGTGTGGTGTGTGGTGTGTGTGTGTGGTGTGGTGTGTGTGTCTGTGGTGTGTGTGTGTGTGTGGTGTGTGTGTCTGTGGTGTGGTGTATGTGTGTCTCTGTGGTGTGTGTGTGTGTGTGGTGTGGTGTGTGTGTGTGTGTGTGGTGTGTGGTGTGGTGTGTGTGTCTGTGGTGTGTGTGTGTGTGGTGTGTGTGTCTGCGGTGTGGTGTGTGTGTGTCTCTGTGGTGTGTATGTGTGTGTGGTGTGTGTGTGTGGTGTGTGTGGTGTGTGTGTACATGGTGTGTGTGTATGTGGTGTGTGTGTATATGGTGTGTGTGTGCAGTGTGTGTCTGTGGTGTGTGATGTGTGTGTGTGTGTGTGGTGTCAGGGGGTATTAGGGTGAAGTAGAGGATCACTGGGGTTGCTGGCTCTCAGCAGCCTGTCTCCAAGTTGAGTGAGAAACCCCACTCAAGGAAATAAATCAAAGTATACAGCACAATAGTCAACAACCTTCTCCAGATCCGGTACATCTGTGCAAGAATGCTGCACCTGCACACATGTATGCACATGCACCACAAACATAACACACAAATAATACAAATAAAAATGATAATTTAAATCTAATAATAGCAGTAGCCATTTATTGAGGCTTCATGTAGTAAGTCTTAAGTGTTTTTTTTTTTTTCTCTCATACTGAACCTTGTAAAGAGTTACTACTGCTGTCCCTGCTGTAGATGGGAAAACTAAGGCACTAAGAGGTTGGATGACATGTCCACAGCCACTAACAGACCTGGCATCTGAGCCTAGGCAGCCTGGCCCAGAGCCTGCACACTCACCAGCCATTGAGGAGTTAAGTACATATTACTCAGAAACACCCAGAAAGACAGAGAACCTAACAGGATGGTGGCTAGCTCTGATTTCCTTATTGTGGTTCAAGTACATGATGTGTCTGATGGCTGCCATGGCCCTGAGAGTCTACCCCAACCAGCTGTTCAGGTGCCAGGAATGCCTGGGCACAAACCCCCAAACACTACCTTGTTCAGCTGCACAGAGAAAGAGACAATGGATGTGTGAAAGCCAAAGGTGTTAGAGGTCCCAGACTCTCCTGCTGGTGGATGGGTCCTCAGACAGGTAACAGCTGCATTTCCAGGGGCAATTTTGGAGCCAGTACCTCGGCAGACAAGCCAACAGCACCCCTACTGTCCATCCTGGGGAAAGCACTGACATCTCCCACCTTTTCTAACAGGCTGTGCAGATTGTCTCCCACTGTGGGCAGAGTCAGTAGATTTTGAACACACATCCTCATGTCCACCAGGAAAATCTGGTCCTTCAAGCCCAGCTGTCTCTACTTCAGGGGAAAAGACAGAGGCCTGGCCTTGGCTGCTGGTCTTTATCACCCGCTAAGGCGGTTAAAGGGTAAAGGAAAGGAAGGGCTGGATTTCTTAACCTTTGGAAAGATAGAAAGTTGAAGTCCCCCCCACCCCCGACATCTTAGGGAGGCTGCAGTGGTCATCTCCACTCTCCGAGCTTCATCATGCCGCCGCCTAAGAATGACAAGAAGAAGAAAGATGCCGGAAAGTCGGCCAAGAAAGACAAAGACCCAGTAAACAAGTCTGGTGGCAAGGCCAGAAAGAAGAAGTGGCCCAAAGGCAAGGTTCGGGACAAGCTCAATAATCTAGTTCTGTTTGACAAAGCTACATACGACAAACTCTGAAAGGAAGTACCCAATTATAAGCTTATTACTCCGGCTGTGGTCTCTGAGAGACTGAAGATTCGAGGGTCCTTGGCCAGAGCAGCCCTTCAGGAGCTGCTTAGTAAAGGAGTTATCAAGCTGGTTTCAAAGCACAGAGCCCAAGTAATTTACCCAGAAACACAAAGGGTGGAGATGCCCCAGCTACTGGTGAAGATGCATAAACAGGTTCAATCAGCTGTACATTTGGAAAAATAAAACTTTATTAAATAAGAAAAAAAGAAAGAAAGAAAGAATGAAAGAAAGAAAGTTGAAGTCAATATCATTTGGGACTGGCAAAAGGAAAAGTGGCCCCAGGCATAGGCCACAACACTGTGAGCATCTGTAAGTGCTGAGCAGGGTGCATAGCCTCCTGGCTCAAAGTCCAGGGCTCTGTCCATAGCCTGGCCAATAAAGTTGCACCCAGGCATGAGGAGCAATACCCTGCCTTCTGCCCTAGGTAATTCTGAGAAATGAAAGAGATCCTGGAGGGTAGAGCAAAGTCTGCAAGCAGCCCACCACCTTCCCTGGATGGGTCAAGGTCATAGGCTGCCAACCACCTTCCGTGGATGGGCCAACTGTGTGCTGCCAGACAGTAGGAGAGGCTGAGGCTGGGAAGTGGGTTAATGTGTCATCTGGGAAGAGCTGACTGCCTCCATCTCTGCCTTGGCTTCAGCATCCAAGTAACACCTGTGCGAGCAGAACCACAGGAAGAGGAAGAAACCTGCAAGGCAGGCTGGTTAGTGTGAATGTCGCCAGAACCCAACAACCTCCTGTCACTGGGAAATAGAGGGACAGAGCCAGAGGGCACCTTCACACAGTTCAGAAGCAAGCCTCTCCTCTGGGCAGATGTGTCCCTAGATCAGCTTAAATGGAGCTGTAGGTTCAGTCATCGTCCACCCCTTGACCTAGATACCCTCAGTTACTAGCCTGCCTCCTCCTAGTGCCTGCAGCCCTGTGAGCTCCTGCAGCCCCCTCCCAGCACCTGCCGCCCTGTGAGCTCCTGCAGCCATACCATAAAGCGAGTTGAAGATGGTGAAGAGGAAGAGCTGAGGCAGCAGGAAGACACTGAAGGAGAAGAAGGCCAGGGTCCAGGTGGTGCCCAGGAGCACAGTGAGACCCAGCACCATGATGGTGTCCCGGTAGGCCCAGGGCCTCAGTGCCTTCTCCTGTGTCTGCAGCCTGCACAGGATCCACAGAGCCCAGGCCAGCACCACCAGGTTGAACAGAGATGTGAGGCCACCATAGCCCATGACCAGGACACTGTGTACAATGCGACTGCGCACCCAGCACCTGCATGAAAGGGTAGAAGGCCAGGATTAGCATGGCCCCAAGACCTGCAGGAGGCCCAGTGCACCTGAGCCTTGGGACCAATTCTCCCCCCTGCCTGGTCTTGCTGTTCCAGTGATTGGAACTTGCCTGATGGTTCACATGCCCACGCCCCGAGCCCAGCTTTCCATCAGTCACCAGTGCCTTTGTCCACTTCCTGACGTGCCTCCTTTCAGCCATGGTGCCTCAAGCCTCCTCTCCTCACTCTGCTGCCTTACCTCCTCTATGCCAACCTGATCAATGTCCTAGTAGATCACTGGCCGGGGTTCTCACTCTGGAGGCTTCCTCTTCCATCCTACCCACTATCGCCACCATCTTGTGCAATGGGACATACCTCCCTTGACATTTCCCACCTAGAACTGAGCAGTACATGAAGCACTACCCACAGTTTGGTGGTTAGATGCTCTAAAATGAAAGAGCTTGGGAGAGGTTAGCAGTAGGGAAATCCTACAGAGGATACTGAACCTGGGGTGCCTGCTGGGCCCTGACCTAGGGCCTTCAAGAGGCCTCAGGCTTTCCCCATCCAGGACACCTTCAAGATAGGTGCTAATCTTTGCTTAGGTCAGAGTATACTCCATGGTCAGCATAGGTTATCCCAGGCTATCTCATGGCAGACCAGGGGCAGGTGCCTAACCATCTCCTTCCCACGGTTAAGGAAACTGATGCTTCTGCTCAGGAGAACACGCTGGCTTAGACAAGGGTGGAACTTGAAGCCCCTTGGTCTGGGCCCTGAGTCTGGGTTCCTGTCACAATCTTGTATCTAGATAACAGTCAGTAGCCATAAAGATGGCTGCACTGCATCTTGGCACAAGGTCAGAGAGTTCAAAACTGTCCTCAGCAAATCATAATGCCTATATGTCAAACACAGTAGTGTGTTTGGTTGTCTTATTCAAAATAACAACAGACCTGATCTACATCTCCTGACCCTCAAGGCTAGGGAACAAGAAGTTGAATCTAAGGTGTGGCTATTGAACCCTTAGAATAATCGAGGAAGAAAAGTCTGTTTGTTCCGTATACACAATACCACATTCCTCTTTTTGGTTAAGGTATATAAGAGTGGTGAAAAATAAATTCGTGGCAGTTCAGTATTAACTGAATCTACCCTCCTGATTTCATTCTGTGTCTCTGTCTTTTGCTAGCCTTTCCCTTAGCCACACACCTCCACTCAGGTACGAACTTGGGGCCGCTCGGCTGGTTCCGATTGCAGCCCCTCAAAGACAGCTTTGACAGATACCCCTCCTGGGGTGCTGACACTGGAGTCACAGTATCCTTGAACATCATTTGCAGGACCCATGCACATTGGTAACCAGCATGATGGGTCCTTCACTTTATCACTACAAAGTACTCTAATATGAAGGCTCTACCACCAGCATCCCTGCTTCATGACCAGACTGCATTTGAAGAGTGCTTTTAAAAATGTCATTTCAGTTTAGGGATGATGATAGATGAAAAAAGGCAGGGTATATAGGTAAGTAGATGATAGATAGATAGATAGATAGGTAGATAGGTAGATAGGTAGATAGGTAGATAGGTAGATAGGTAGATAGGTAGATAGACAGACCGACCCTGTGGGTTAGTACTAATCATCAACAGAATGTAGATCTGGACATTATCTTACGTTGACTGAGGTGGGAAGACCCTTCCACTGTGAGTGGTGTGAATGGTACCACTCCTTGACTGGGATTCTGAGCTACAGAACTGGATAAAGGCAGCTAAGTGGGAGCACACATTTGTTACTTCTGATGTCAAATGCAGACATGTGACCAACTGCGTCAGCTCCTGCCACTTCCACTTCCCCACCATGATACAAACTATACTCTGAAACAGGCAGTCAAAAAAACAAAACAAAGCAAAGCAAAAACAAAACAAAACAAAAAAAAAAAAAAAAAAAAAAAAAAAACCTTCTCTGCTAAGCTGCTTTTGTCAGAGTATTTTATCACAGCAACAGTAAAGTATCTAAGACAAATGATAGGTCAAAAGATGGACGGATACATAGATAGACGGACAGATGGATTAGTAGGTGATAGGTAATAGATAATAGATAAACATATAGCTGGTCAGATGTATGATAGACTTCTATGAGTTTTTGATGGAAGATAAAAGCCACCAACGAGGGATAATGATCTCCTGAAGGACAGAAATGGGTGAGAAAAATACAGGGACACTAGTTCATAGTTTGAAGGTTCCCATTTCTACACTGCTGTGTTCCTGTCTGGGGTCCTGTCAGTTAAGCTCTTTTCTTCACTCTGTCCATGACATAATGAGATACATCTTTAAAGGGCTCACCCCTCAGCAACATCCATGCCACTTCACACTCGTCCCCAAACTCCCGATGACAGCCAGGAGTTGGAGCTGGGCAATGTCTGGAGGACTACTCTGGGGCTGCTGGTAGGCTAAGTCCCAGCTCTTCGTTGATAGCCTGGGATCTCATGGATGAGTTCTTGAGCTGTCTGTGCCTCAGTTGCCCTATTGTGACATAGGGCTGGCAGTGGGGTTAAGCCCTCGCTGTGAACATTGAACACACTCATCCACCAAGTCTGCCCCCACAAGCCTTCAGCCATCCTGAGCTGCCAGGGAGAGCCGTGGTGGCTGGACTACCAACTCTAGATGGCTTCACCAGAGTTTATTCATTATTTTATTTATTATTTTATGTGTGTGGTATGTGCAATGTGCAATGCCGTGACACACACAGATACGAGGGTGAAAGACAGCTTTGGGGAGCTAGTCTTCTCCTTCCACCATAGATTCTGGGGATAGAACTTGCGTTGTAAGTCTGTGCCTTTACCCACAAGCTGTCTCACCCACCCTCCACAGGAGTCTCCCACACTACCATACGGTACCCAGCTGCTGGAAGTGTTAAGTAATAACAAGCTACAGTAGAGTTTGTCCCCCACAGCATTCCCCTCCCCCAGGTCTCACTCCAGCAGCGTGGGAGCTGGGGTGCTGGTGATGTCCTGTGCTCTGTACAAGGAAGGAAGAGCTAAGCTGAGCCTGCCAGTAAACAAGGTGAAGACATGACACAGAAGTCAGGTCCCAGCTGAGCTGGGAAGCTCTGGGGCCTGCACTGGCTCAAACCACAGGACCAACCATGTGGCCATGTGATATACAGTCAAGGACCTCCTAACTCAGTGGTTCTCAATCTGTGGGTTAGAGCCCCCGCAGGGGTGACACATCAGACATTTACATTACAATTCATAACAGTAGCAAAATTACAGTTATGAAGCAGTAACAAAAATATTTTATAGTTAGGGGTCACCACAACATGAAGAACTATCTTAAAGGGCCACAGCATTGGGAAGGTTGAGGACACTGTAGCTGGTCCTGGAGGCTCAGCAAGTATTGGTGTCAGCTCTACGGCTTCCTAGTCAATCAGCATAGAGCCGGCATCCACCCCTGCAGAGACCTCAGGGACACGGAAAGCGTGGGCAGAACCCACTGGTATTCCACCCTCCCCAAACCATGACTCCCTCTTAGCCCCTCAGCCATCACTTCGCCTTAGAGAGCCCAGGCCCACCAGGCACTCACATGGACACGTTCTGGAAGCCTGTGCCGTTGTCCTGGCTACTGGAGAAAGAGATCACACAGGGCCCGTACACTGAGCTTTTGATCACCAGAAGAAGAAGCACCAAGAGGGCTGGAAACCCTGAGGGGTGACAAAGACAGGGGTGGTTCTGGTCCTTGGGCCCTCTGACGGGAGGGGATGCACACTGGGCTGAGCGGCAGCGGCGGTGGTGGTCACCTGGAAGGTGGCAGGGAGCTAACAGGAGGTGGGGGTGGTTGGGGAACTTGAGAGGAGTAGAGATAATAACGAGATGGGCTAAGGTGGTGGAGGTGTCGGTGGTGGTACTGCTGTGGTAAAGATGACTAAGGGCAGAGTGGCAGGTGCAGGGAAGGTGAGGAAGGTGATGAGGACGCAGGAGACGGGTGGTGGAAATTAGGGTAAAGGCGGGTGTGGGTGGTAGAGGCAGGGAATGGTGGTGGCGATAGTGGGAACAGGGGGCTGGGGGCGATGGTGGTGCTGAGAGTGGAGGTGGCGAAGGTCACAATAGTAGTAATGACAGTGTGGAAAACAAAAGCAGATCTGGAGGTGATGATAAGCAGGAGCAATGGTGGTGTCGGGGATAGAGTGATAGGTGGAGCAGATGCCAATGATGGAGATGGAGTTAGAGGTGGCAGAGAGAGCTTAGTGATGTTGAAATGGTGGTAAGTGTTGGCAGGAATGGTAGCTCACGGTTGTGCAATGGTTACTGAGATAGGCAGGAGGACTTGGGGTCAGCACCCTGTACACTGCAAGTTCCAGAGGCAAGTGAGGTAGATGTCCCTTACCCCAGCCCAGCACGCACAGCTTGAGCAAGTATCGATGGATGTAGACATTGTAGACACGGCCCAGGAGAAGGTAGAGGTTGCAGCCTTCGATGGCCATCCAGGTAAGGCAGCTGAGCAGTGCATAGTGTAGGGTGGCAGCCAGCACCATGCACACTGACTTGGGCACTGTGGGCAGAGCCATCTGGGAGCTCAGAAGGAAGGACACATTCAGGAGCAGAACAGAGCCATGCAGGTTCATGTGGATGCGTGTGATGGAATTGCTTTGCTTCCTGTGGGTAGGACATCACCCAGATTAGCGCTATGGCCTGGCTCACGGACGCACAATGATGGGAAAACTGAATGGAGAGAGACCCAATAGCTGACACACTGTTAGGATGGCTAATGCTCTGTGACCCTTCCCACCTCCCCAGGACAGGAAGCAGCAGTAGGGCAAGTGGGCTGGGCAAGGCAGGGATTACCTGGAGTGGGCATACAGTAGCATGGTGAGCAGTGAGGCCACGATGGAGATGCTGCAGCCCACCAGGGAGATGTACTCAAGAGGCACCTGTAGCTCGGCGGGCACTGGGTCTCCAGACAGCTGCTACAGGGCAAAGGAGGCTTGAAGCGTAGAAATGCCCAGCTCTCTCTGGGTTCTACCAGAAGAGTCTTCTAGACCCCAGTTCCAAGTCCCTTCCCCACAGCCCAGCCCAGTCCTGCCTTGAATGAAGCCATAGCCTGCACTGTGGTGGCTTTTGTCACCTACAACCCCCTGAAGGCACACTCACCCCTCTCCAAGCACACAGGTGGGGCACCCTTCTCCCATTGTATGGATAGGCACATCAAGCCTGGACTTGAGACTGGTTAAGGGTGGTTCTTGAATGCCATTGATCTGAAAGCCAGCAGCAGGGCATGAGCCTGAAGATGCTGGCAGCTGTGTTATCATCCCCTACAGCATCCTAGCTGAGAGCCAAGCCAGGATGGAGCAGGCATACTTGAAGGATAGAGATAGAATCCTGTCTCAGTGAGATTTAGCCCCTGGATCAAGCCATGCCTGAAGCTTAACACACTCTGGAAGGAATGCGGGCCCCTAAGTTGACATGTGTGACTTAATCTCCACCCTTTATGCTGTCTTCAGCTTTGCTCCTGTACCACCTATCCAGGGCCCCTGTAGCTCCCACCCCCTCACTCAAGGCGATTGCCCATGTACCATGAGAACTGCGAAGTAGGTGAGGTGGTTGCAGCGGCAGAGCACCTGGGACGGTGAGGGCTGCTCTGTGTGACAGCCCTCAGGGCTCCAGGCCCCCCAGCTGTGCTCGCTGGCCCCCTCCTTCCAGAAAACACAGGTCACTGTGTACCCTTCCTGAAATGAGATGTGAGGGTCAGTCCCGCGGTGCAGGATGAGATCCTGTGTTAGGGTTTGGGGGCCCAGGACCCAAGAGAGATTTAACTGCACCACTGTCAACATTTTGTGGGTGCTGACCGGGCTTTGACAATCCCAGATGCCAGCCCCACTTTCACCACAAGTTCTTAGTGTCCTGGATAAGTGGGAAAGCTTCTCTGTGCCTCAGTTTATTCATCTGGAAAATGGACCATAGATATCCAAGCCACAAGGTTAGCAGAAGCACAAAAGGCCATTCAGCATTTGGAGGGGGCAGGGTGGCAGTGTTGCCTCTTTGTATGACAGATCTTCTATAAAACACTGTTTGCTACCCCCTCCCAGATACAGACCCATCACGAGAGACTCATTGGCAGCCAAGTCCTATGATGGAGATAAGGGGTGCAACACAGGCATGCTATGGAAAGCAACAGAGGAGGGACGGGGGAAGTGGGGCCTTGGGGGTACCTGGATTGAATGGAAATGGAATGGGACACTCGTGGAAGGCTGCTGTGAAGCTGGGAATGTAAGCCTTCCTGCCCAGACTGAGGCGGATGGAAGCAGAAAAGAGCACTTGGGTTTCATGGGGAAGCAGGCAGACTGGGGGCCCAGAAGCAGCAACAGCAGGACTTGCACCTCCTGGCTACTCTTTTCTGTGCCAGCATCAGCACCAGCACTACCCCCATCCCAGGTGATCCAGCCTGGTTCAGCCATAGATACATGAGTCAGCCAAATCCCTTGGAGCCCTGGTTTGCACTGGTGGAGAAGAACCTTCCAAGGAGAGATGCAAGCCCGGTGTCTTCAGCAGCCATCTTACATAGGAACGGAAGCCAAGGCAGGAAAGACTACAGAAGACTGAACCCTAACAGTTATGTCCATGCCTGGACCCAGCCATACCTGAAGGTGGAACTCCCCTGAACATTCCATTGATAGGAACGCATAAATCCCCTTTAGAGCTTAAGCTGGCTCTCTAGTGCTAGCAACTAAAAAAAAAAAAAAAATGACAGAATTCTTCCTGGTTGCTTTACAGAAATTTTCAAGGAACAGATTTAAAGTTGTTTTCCAGATGGTGCCATGAATTTCAGTTTGGCCAAGCCAGGGTTGACGGGAAAGCTTCATAGGCTGGGGTGGAGGTGGGCTCTACAGTACCAGGCTTTGGTTGTGCCAGAAGCTGACGTTGATGGGCTTCTGCAGGTTGTTCACTGGCCTGTGATCCAGCTGGGCCCCCAGGACATAGTTATTGAGCAGGGATGAGTTATTGTCGTCCTGGGAGGGCAGTGAAAAGGGGGCTGAGCCGGAGAGATTCTGTGCGAGATCCCAGCTCTTCCTCCCTGTGCCTTCTGGCTGTCTCTCAGCTCAGAACAGACATTGAGGCACTAAAGGTCTTGGGTCTCATTTGTAGACTGCAACCCTGCCTCCTTGTGAGGGCTGATATAGATTATCAGTTTGACAATATCTCGGGTCACCTTAAGCCAAGCCTCTGGGCAGGCCAGTGAGGGGTTGTCTAGATTAGGTTGGGCTGGGATAGGCCTATGTACTCCTGCCCACTGTGATGGACTACACTCTCAAACTACAGGCCCAAACAAATTCTTCCTTCCTTAAATTGCTTTTGTCCCTCCCTAAAGCAGGTAGGGGATGTGGGCCCAGGAGCGGCAGTGACCGGCTACAGTTGTACAGTGATCTGGGCACCATTCACAGGCCATCCTCTGCTGACCTGGAAGAGGTGTGCCCTGAAGAAATAGATGCAGATGAGTCGGAGCTCGGCAGGCCTGGAGGTCACACAGGCACCCTTGGTCAGCTCAGCAGGAAACTGCATGGCATGTGGAGCCCAGGCCTGTGGATGGCAGTACATGGGCTGAAGCCTCATGAGCAGAGGCCACAGATGCAGTCCCAACACCTTTAGGCTCCCTCCCCTGGGCCTCCACTCTCTGATACCTCCTCCCAGACTCCCCCTCCCATCTTCATTCCCTGAGAACAGAGCCACCCCAGCATAAAACTTACATCCTGCTCTGTTAACACCAGAGTCCTAAAGGGACACAGGTGCCACCAGCCCCAGGGACCTGCCTCCAAGCAAAATCCAGATGAAGGCCCTGACTACCATGTATTGTGGAGTACTTCCTCTTTCTGCTCTCCACAGAGTAAAGCAAAAGAGGCAACTCCCAGCTGATTAGGTGGAGCATGGACAGGGGACTGGGGTACCAGGCAGTAAAGGAAGATCTTGACTGTAAGCCCCTTCAGGATTTCCCTGGCTGCCTCTGACCTGGGGGACATTTGCTAGGGTGGCACTGGACAGGGAGAGGCCAGAGAAGTCACAGTCCAGCTTGAAGATCAGAGACTGGATGGAGTTTGTCTGTAGCGTCAAGTTGTGTCCACAGAAGCTAGCATTGAACAGCATCTGCTCTAGGTGATGGATGTGCCTGGGACTGGGAAGCAGTAGGGGAGGAGCTGGAGACAGCCTGGGGGTGGGGCTTCCCACCCCCACCCAGCACTCCCATTATAACAGTTCTACTCATCAACCCCAACCCACCCTGGATAACCCATATCCTCACCCCAAGTCTTAGAGCCCCTGCCTAGGAAATACATGGACCCATTTGGCTCATAACACTTCATCAAGGGTCCTCGATAGACAATAAACTCTTGGAGGGATGTGGCAAGCCTCTCCTGAAACTCCAGATCCCGGGACCAGGCACACAGTGGGTATTCACACAATGGGTACTCAGTCACCACAAGCTAAGTATGTGTATGGCCGAGGGTACACCTGACTCACCTCACTCTGGAAAACAAGGACCGGCCTATGGGCTGCTCAAGGTACTTCATCAAGTTCAGCAGGTTTGGCGATGTTTCTGCGGACAGTGGAACTCAGACCTTGAGCCAATTTCTCAGCACTCCTCCCCCATGGAGTCATCACCTACCTACTGAGATACTTTGAGCAGCCAGAAGGTACAGACAGAAGAAAAGGGACCTTTTTGTATCCATGTCCTCAGCTGATATCCTCTTGGCCTTGGAGAGGGGACACCATGGTCAGTACCTCTACCTTCTAGGTATTTGTGCAACCCCCAGCTTTCTCCCTCTCCCTCTTCTTTTTCATTGCTGTTGTTGGGATGGGATCTTCTGTAGCCCAGGCTGGCCTCAAACTTGCTATGTAGCTGAGGGAGACCTTGAACTTCTGATCCTCCTGCTCCTTCCCCACAAAGTGCTGAGATTGCATGCTTCATCACAGCACCCAACAGTACTGAGGATCAAACCCAGGGCCCCAAGAATGTTAGGCAAGCACTCTACCAACCCAACTCCATCCCTGACTATAAAGCTTCTTTGCAGCTTCTCCAACTCCCGCAGTTCAGATAAGGAAACTCAGGCTGAAGCCTAAGAGTCTGTCTTTGCTTGAAGATGGCTGAAGCCAATTGTCCCTGGCCCCAGAAATTCTGACCACTGAGTATAGCTGCCATTAGCTACTCAGCCTGAGAATCTCCATGGGCTTCCTCAGTCACACTGGGTTGTGGGGTGTGGGTATTACTAAGAGCAAGCAAGGCATAACCCTGACCCATCCTGTCACTAATACAAATAAGGATCTTCCTGCATCTTTTCCCAAGTTTCTCTCCATGTTGACAGACCTTGCTGAGCAAATCCAAGGCTCTGGTTCAATTCCTAGGATTCAGAAAAAGAGGGACTAGATGAATGAATGGACTTCTACTTAAATACAGTAAGATTATCTCTACCCCCAAAATCCTTCCAAAAGGAGACTGGACAGGTAAGATAAGCACAAAGCAAAAGGCATAGTGGTGCACGCCTTTAATCCCAGCACTCAGAGGCAGAGGCAGAGGGAGAAGGAGAAGGAGAAGGAGAGGGAGAGGGGGAGGGGGGGGGGGGGGGGGGGGGGGGGGGGGGGGCAGAGGCAGAGGCAGAGGCAGAGGCAGGTGGATCTCTGAGTTTGAGGCCAGCCTGCTGTATAGAGAATTCTGAGACAGCCAGAGCTACGCAGAGAAACAAACAAAGATAAGCACAAAGCCACAAGACAGAAAAATGGGGAGGAGGATGACAGCTGAGATTTTTCTAGTGACACCGAGCAAGTGGCTGCCTGGAAAATAAACTTGTCAGTTTTATCTAGTATTGCAACGGGGGAAGGAGGGGAAGAGGGGAGACATTTGGGGAGCAAGGAGACACCAGCTAGTTCAAGTCTTATGGCCTTGGAAGCACATGAGAATGGGAGGCATCAGGGTCTCTGAAGAGGCGGATGGAATACAAGGCTAAATGTGTTCAGGATTTAGCCAGGGAAATCGCCCAATGGGTAAGCAGTAACACATAAACAAGAGGACCTGAGTTTGGATCCCTAGAACCTATGTAAATCTATTATTCCAGCCTCAGAAGGCAGACAGGGGATCCCCAGAGCAAGCTGGCTAGATTAACTATATTGGTTAGCTCTGGGTTTGACTGAGAGCTGCTGCCTTGAATAAGGTGGGAGGGAGGGAGAAAGGAAGAGAAGAAGGGAGGGAGAGAGGGAGGGAGGGAGGGAAGGAGGTGGTAGGTAGGTGGATGGATAAATGTAAGCAAATTTGGTTTTTTTAGGTTGTTTGTTTGTTTGTTTGTTTGTTTTGAGACAGGGTCTCACTGTGTATCTCTGACTGTCCTGGGACTCATGATGTAGATCAGGTTGGCCTCAAACTCACAGAGAGTCCCCTGCCTCTGCCTTAGGAATGCTGGGATTAAAGTCACTGTTACCAAGCCTGGCCTTAACAACATTTTTTAGTGATATGGCAACATTATTCATTTAGACCAAGAATCTAGTTGGTATAAAATTCTTAATAGAAGACTAAAATAATATGGCAAAAATTCCATGTATGCTGTCTGAATGAACCTGGAGAATGCTTTGCCAAGCAAGTGGGATGAAGATATCCATGACTGTTGGCCACATGTGCTGTTTCCCGCTTTTGACATAACACAGCATCAGACCTTAACGTTTCCCAAACTGTATGTCTGTGTTGTGACTTCATCCAGTAGAATGCAACCATGAGCCCCAAAGGATGACAACTGGGAAAGGAAAAATAAGCTTAGCAAAAATAAGCAAAACAACCCTTCACACACGTTGTATGCGGTATACACAGTCTGTTTATGTAATCGTCTGTTTAGAATGTGCCTAATCTGATCAGTGGGACTTACTTTTCATTAAATTACTTCAGGAATTAATTAAAGCTATTAGGGGAAGAATTTTTAAAAATAGGGCTCAGATGGTAAGAGTGCTTGCTGCGTGACAAACGTCATGGCCAAAAGCATCTGGTCGGGGGCATTTCAGCTTACAGCTCACATTCCACCATGAAGGGAAGTCAGGGCAGGAGCTGGAGCAGAGGCCATGGAGGAACATGCTTACTGGCTTGTTCCTTGTGACTTGAAAAGCCTGCTTTCTTAATAGAAACCAGGACCACCTGTCCAGGGGTGGCACCGCCCACTGTGGGCTTGGCCCTCCCACCTCATCATTAATTAAGACATTACCCCATGGGAAAATCTGAGGAAGACAATTCCTCAACGGATGTTTCCTCTTCCTAAAATGATTCTAGCTTGTGTCAAGTTAACAACAAAACAAAACAACCTACGCAGCATTCTGCATTGGCCTGACTACCTGAATTCCTTCTGCAGAACGCATGGTGGAAGGAGATAACCCACTCCCAAAGGGTGCCACTGACCTCCACATCCTTGCTGTTTAGGAGCCTGATGCCCCCCCACTAAATAAATAAATGTTAAAAAGAAAAATAAAGCCACACACAGAGATCCACACTCATACACATGCGTACACACTCGTGTGCAACATAACTAATTAATGTGCAGGCTAGTTTTATGTCAGTTTGATACAAGCTAGCGTAATTTGGGAAGAAGAAACCTCAGCTGAGAAAATCACCCTACCAGATTGACCTGTGTGGCATTTCCTTTGCTGATTGATAGGACAGTGTCCAGCTCACTGTGGGAGGTGCCCACCCAGGGTTGGTGGTCCTAGGTGCCATAAGAAAGCAGGCTAAGAGCTGGAGATATGACTCAGCAGTGAAGACTACTGAGCATTCTTCCAGAGGATCTGGGTTCAGTTCCACATGGTGGCAACAACCATCTGTAATTCCAGTTCCAGGGGATCTAACACCGTCTTCTGGGCATCAGGCACTACAAGGCGAATAAACATACATGCAAGCAAAATATCAATACACATTTTTTTAAGTTTAAAAAGAAAGAAATCCGGCTGAGCAAGCCATGAAGAATAAGCCAGTAAGAAACATTCCTCCATGGCCTCTGCTTCAGTTTCTGCTTCCTGCCTTGAGCCCCTGCTCTGACTTCCCTTCAAGACAGTCGTAAAATGTAAGCTGAAATAAACCCTTTCCTCCTCAAGTTGCTTTTGGCCATGATGTTTTATCACAGCAATTGAAACCCAAAGACAGTAAATAAAATAAAAAGAGCTGGGGAATATAGCTCAGTGATAGAGCATATGCTTAGCATAAATGAGGCCTTGGGTTTTATCCCCAGTACCACAAAAAAAGAAAAAGAGAGAGAGGGGAAAGAAATGAAGGGAAAGAAGGAAGGAGGGAGGGAAGAAAGGAAGGAGGAGGGAGAAAAGGAAAGAAGGAAGGAAGAGAGGGAGGGAGGGAGGGAGGGAGGGAGGGAGGGAGGAAGCTAGCTGGAGATGGAGAGATGGCTGCAGTTAAGAGTGCTTGCCCTGCAATCATGAGGACTAGAATCCAGACCCCAGATCCCTGTAACAAGCCACTGTTCCCCACAAACACGTAAACCCCAATGCCAAGTGGATGGAGACAGGGAGATTTCTGGGGTTTGCTGGTTTCCAGCCTAACCAAGGCATAAATCCAGGTTTAAGAGACCCTGCCTAAGAGGAAGAGTTAAAGAAGATGTAGGATGCTTCACAATCATTTTTGGCCTCTATATGCATGCATATGCAAACTTGCACACACAGAGACAAATGAAAATCTTTTGTTAAAAAAGTTTTTCCAGCAATATGGTTCAGTGGGTATAGGCACTTGCCACCATTCCTGAGAACCTGGGTTAAATCCTCAGGACCAATATGGTAGAAGGAGAGAACTACCTCTCACAAGTTGTTCTCTGCCCTCCACACATGTACTATGAACTACACACACCTACACAGTAAATAAATTTATTTTAAAAGTTTAAAGCCTAGCACTACTACTCAGCTTTAATTTCAGCACTGTGGAGGCAGAGACAAGCAGATCCCTGTGAGTTCTAGCCAGCCTGGTCTACCTAGGGAGTTCCAAACTATCCAATGCTACATGGGAAGACCCTGTCATTTTAAATAGTAATAATAATAATTTTTATAGAAGGAAAGTTGAAGGTCTGGAGAGATGAGTCAGCAGTTGAAAGTACTTGTCAAAGGACTTGGGTTCAGTTCCCAGCCCCTACATGGCAGCTCACAACCATCTGTCAATGTAGTTCCAGGGAACCTGATGCTGTCTCTTCTTCCAGGCTCTGCAGGCAATTGAGCACACTACAGGATACGTATATACATGCAGGCAAAACACACATATACATAAAATAAAAATTACAAATAAATAAGTGTTTTTTAAAGGGGGGACTTAAAAATGTCTATTAATAGAGGAATAGCTGAATAAGATAGGGGTCAATGATTCCTGGCGTGTGTGTGTGTGTGTGTGTGTGTGTGTGTGTGTGTGTGTACATCGGGGTGGGGGAGGAGAGGGAGGGAGCTAGAGAAAGAGGAAGAAGGAGAGTGTGCACAAGCCGGCCGGCACTAGGGTGATGGTCAGTGGTAGAGTGCTTGACTCACCCATGCAGCTTGGTTTCCACAGCAGCACCACAAACAGAAACTAAAACTAAAATCACATCTACCATGTGAGCTTTCGGTAGCTTCTGAGTGTTCATCTGAGAAATAAAAACCTATGCATGTTCACAAAAGAAATCTGTACACATTCACATTGGCTTTATTAACAATATCCCAAACTGGTGGGCTGGCAAGATGATTTCAGTGGGTAAGGGCACT